AAAAAAAAAAAAAAAAAAAAAAAAAAAAAAAAAAAAAAAAAAAAAAAAAAAAAAAAAAAAAAAAAAAAAAAAATTATATGCATAGAAATATACTACCATAAAATTCAAACGTATCTTTGGTTAACTTTTTGAATATAATCTTGTTACTTTTATCAGTGGGGAAAAAGCTATAAAGCACCTTTTATTCAAAATGTTAACCATATTACATCATTGCCAGGAATTAAGTAGGTCAAATATTATCTAACATAGCTATTGGATAATATGGCTATTATCCAATCTAGGTATTAGATAATATAGGTATTATAAATGATAGACCCCAAAACTTAGGTCACAGAGCACCATCTGGTATTAGAAGCCTGTTTGTCTAAACTGGCCCCACCATTCCCCTACTCCCGACTCAAGATCTTTTCCCTAAAAGCACACACCTTACAATGTATATGGCTTAGAAGAAAAAAAAACAAGTCCTGGTTACATAATAACAGGCTTCGATAAGCAAAAGGATAACCCATCAGAATTATAAAAAAAGCTTTATTAGTGCATATATACAAATTTACAAGGTCAGAAACTGGAGAAATACAAAGAGCTTTAAAACACAATTTGTCTTTTCCTCAGTTTAAAGTGACTTTTACCTGATTGTGATACAATACAAAGTACAGAATGGTAAACTGCTTTTTAAATACTGGAATTTTATGGAGAATACATTCACATAAAGAAAGGAGGTGAATTTTGTTTTGAAACAGGGTTAAGACAATGGAGACATTAATACACAGAATGTCTCTTGTTGCATCTACTGCCAGCCACATAGTTGAGGGGAAATTCTCAAAATCAAGGATATGAACACCTGCTGCCAATGCTGCTGTTTGTATGCCACCTAGTGTGCGAAATGAGCTACCAGTTCTAGAATTTATGAGAACTACTCTAAAGAGTGTGGCCATCTATCAGCACAAGGTAAACCACTTAGACCTCAGCACTTCAGAGGTGGCCGACTACAGGAAGCGGCCAGAAAGAGATCCAGATAATCCCAGTCAAGCAAGGTAGAATGCAGAGCTGCCTTCTGAATTGCACTTGTTCTGGAGAAGTTAATCCTTCACTTTTAAAAGTCAGGGAGTCCTCTACAGAGGTGTCATATTCATCAGCCACATGTTCTTCAAGACTGATGAGGTTAATGTACCTACCATGCTAAGTTTGCCAGTGTGAGAATAAATGCAGCATGGTCAAAGCAATTCCAATCACCTCACCCTTTAGCAAAACAGAAAAATTACATTTCACAGAAGTGAAACTTTGTATGCATACACTCTTGCCCAGGAAATTCCTATGGTCTCCCCCATAACATTTGTAGTTTATTTGACAACAATAAAACTGGTTAAGACTTTGAACACAAAACAAATAATACAAAAAAAGTTTTAAAAACTTAAAAACTATGTGTTTGGAGCCATTTTTCTTCTCTTTAGTCTTGCTCTCCAATCCTCAGGAAGGGCTTCAAAATTAGCATTTCTCTCTGCCATGCCACTGTGAAAACAACACACAGATTATTTCACTGAAAAGAAAAATTGACTAAGTATTCATTTCCTAACAAATAAACACCAAACTGAAATTGAAAACCTGATCACATCTATGTTTATTAAACTGTTGTTTCTCAGCCAAATATCAGTATATTCTTCAATTTCTTCATTCTGATAGGTCAGCCAAACACTTCCCCAATTTTATGTAAATGTGTACGTGCTTTTTATTTATTTATTTAGAGATGGAGTTTTGCTCTTGTTGCCCAGGCTGGAGTGCAATGGTGTGATCTCGGCTCACCGCAACCTCTGCCTCTTGGGTTCAAGCCATTCTCCTGCCTCAGCCTCCCGAGTAGCTGAAATTACAGGCATATGCTACCACACCCAGCTAATTTTGTATTTTTTTAGTAGAGACAGGTTTCTCCATGTTGCGTCAAGCCAGTATCAAACTCCTAACCTCAGTATCAAACTCCTAATCCCAAAGTGTTGGGATTACAGGTGTGAGCCACCACACCCAGACTTACTTATTTTACATAAATATACCTCCAGTAACCATTAAAGGCACACTGAAAGAATAAAATACATTCTATTAAAGTTTTTTCTTAGCCCACAGGAGTTAACACAATTCTTGAAGGCAGATATATCTAACCCTCAGTCTACCATCAGAGACCTCTGGATCTAATGTTTTTCAGTTTCTCTTTCAAGTAGTATTATTTGTAAGGATTGAAATTCAAATTATATCTTGCAATTAGCAGAATGAATGCACTAGATCTTTTAATAAAAAATAAGCTAGAACCTATCAGATATGAATTTGAAATCCAGTATTAGACAGCTATGTTCTAGGTTACACATTGACAACTAGATGTGTACAGTGAGTTGCAAAGAACGCTGCCCATTTCATAGTGTATACCTTCAAAACAGAGAAAACATGAAATAAAAAACTGTGTTTGCTGGGTCTTTAAAATTTCTAGAATTTTTGAGAAAGCCATCTTCCTGTCACAGCCTCCCAAGCATCTAGGACTACAGGTGTAAGCCACAGTGCCCAGCCAACATGTGTGTGTGGTTTTTTTTTGTTTTGTTTTGTTTTGTTTTTATTGAGACGGAGTCTTACCCTGTTGCCCAGGCTGGAGTGCAATGGCATGATCTCAGCTCACTGCAACCTCTGTCTCCCAGGTTCAAACGATTCTCCTGCCTCAGTCGTCTGAGTAGCTGGGATTAAAGGCATCCACTACTATGCCCAGCTAATTTTTATATTTTTAGTAGAGATGGAGTTTCACCATATCAGCCAGGCTGGTCTTGAACTCCTGATCTCGTGATCCTCCCACCTCGGCCTCCCAAAGTTCTGGGATTATGGGCAGGAGCCACCGCAACTAGCCCAACATGTGCTTTTATCATAAAAAATATTTGTGAGCTGGGCGTGCTGATTCACGCCTGTAATCCCAACACCCTGGGAGGCTGAGGCACAAGGATTACTTGAGGCCAGTTCTCCCTATCCTTTTTTTTTTTTGAGTCTCGCTCTGTCGCCAGGCTGAAGTGCAGTGGTGTGATCTCCAGTCACTGCAACTTCAACCTCCCAGGTTCAAGCGATTCTCTTGCTCATCCTCCCAAGTAGCTGGGATTACAGACATGTGCCACCACGCCCAGCTAATTTTTGAATTTTTAGTAGAGATGGGGTTTCACCATGTTGGCCAGGATGGTCTTAGTCTCTTGACCACACGATCTGTCCACCTCGGCCTCCCAAAGTGCTAGGATTACAGGTGTGAACTACCTTGCCCGGACCTATCCTTTTATTCTAGTCAAACAAGGTAAAGAAGGATTTTTTTTTTTACCTAGTAGAGGTTCATTTAGTTCCCAGTGTGGTGTGCTGTCTCATTAACGTCTATTCTAGAACAAGAGCAATTCAAAAGGCAGCTGTGTATTCTGCCTTGCCTGACTGAGAAACAGGGATAGGGAAAAGACTTTAATTCTGAAAATTATTTGTAAATTTGTAAAATAAGTTAGTATGTATATATGTGTGTATGTCTGCGTGTGTGTATCTATGAAAAAGCATCCACTAGGGGTTAGGGGAGGGGGCAAAGAAAAAAGAAAAAGGGTCCACTGGATCTAGATGTAAATAATATACTGAGAGTTAAGACAGGCCCTTTGCCTTAGACCAACAATCAACAGGACAAAGTTTTACAACTCTGGTATTTCTGATTTTGGAAAAAAGGTTAGACCATGATTTCTATAAGGCAATAAAACATGTTTACAAATTAAAAACTTTTAGATAAATTTACAAGCTGTAATTTTAAGAATATCTATTCTAATGCATCTTTAACAACCACAACCTACTCCACCCATCTGTGTTCCCTTTTCTTTTACCTAACCAGCTGCTGCTGTTTCCACTCTTCAATTCGCTTCTGTGCAGTTGATTCCCGATCCTCTTCACTGGAACTAGAATTGTCCTCTTCATCTAACTCACGCTGGATACTCTGCCACTTCTTTACCAAAGATGGCATTTTGGTCTTACTCTTCTTTGCCTGTAACAAAGGTTAATGGTCAAAAGGAATAGAAAACATAAAATAAGAGTCCCCTATAATGGAGGTCAGGATCCTTTTCCCAGTTCTAAGGAATATGCAGACTTTAAAATTAAAAGAAAGCAAATACCATTCTAAGAAAGTAAATACCATTCTTGCCATAAACTTCTTACCAACTATAAATGAAAAGGCTTGGTTAAAAATCCATAAAGCTGGGTGGGTGCGGTGGCTCACGCCTATACTCCCAGCATTTTGGGAGGCCGAGGTGGGTGGATCACGAGGTCAAGAGATCGAGACCATCCTGGTCAACATGGTGAAACCTTGTCTCTACTAAAAATACAAAAACTAACGGGCATGGTGGCACATGCCTGTAGTCCCAGCTACTTGGGAGGCTGAGGCAGGAGAATTGCTTGAGCCCAGGAGGCGGAGGTTGCGGTGAGCTGAGGTCACGCCATTACACTCCAGCCTGGGTAACAAGAGTGAAACTCCGTCTCAAAAAAAAAAAAAAAAAAAAAATCCATAAAGCTTTGTAAATGTGGTATTTTATAAAATCAGGTCATAAAAACTTCCTTTACCTCCCTATCCTCTGCAATTCAAAATACTGCCTTTATTTCATCTTCTCAGAATAATAGTGCTCCCGTTTTTAAGTTTTAAATAGATGCAGTGTTCCTATCAAGTGATTAAAAAAAAAAGCTAAAAAATAAAAGCTGAAAGGAGCAACAAACTAAATTGCCATGTTAGCTACGTGTGGTGGCAGGCGTCGGTAGTCCCAACTACTTGGGAGGCAGGGCAGGAGAATCACTTGAACCCGGGAGGTAGAGGTTGCAGTAAACCAAGATCGCACGCCACTGCACTCCAGCCTGGGCGACACAGTGAGACTATGTCTCAAATCACAACACTTTGGGAGGCCAAGGTGGGTAGATCACTTGAGGCCAGGAACATTCTGGCCAACATGACAAAAACCCAACTCTACTAAAAATATAAAAAATACTGCTGGGTGCATGGCTCATGCCTGTAATCCCAGAACTTTGGGAGGCCAAGGCAGTCGAATCAGCAGGTCAAGAGTTCGAGACCAGCATGGCCAGCATGATGAAACCCCATCTCTACTAAAAATACAAAAAAATAGCTGGATGTGGTGGCAGATGCCTGTAATCCCAGCTATTTGGGAGGCTGAGGCAAGAGAATCGCTTGAGCCTGGGAGGCGGATGTTGCAGGGAGCCAAGATTGCACCACTGCACTCCAGCCCCAGTAACAGTGCAAGACTCCATCTCAAAAAAAATTAGCCTGGCATGGTGGTGCACATGCCTGTAGTCCCAGCTACTCAGGATGCAGAGGTTGCAGTGAGCTAAGATCATGCCACTGCACTCCAGCCTGGGTGACAGAGACTCTGTCTCCCTCCCCCTCACCAAAAAATCCAATGATGCAGTTAGTTCTAAGAGAAGGTATAATGGTTTAATATTTTATTTTTCTTTTTGCTTCCCTTCATTGTCTACATTGTCTATAATAAACATGCACTTTTTCCCTTTTCTTTTTGAGACAGTCTCACTCTGTTGCCCAGGCTGGAGTGCAGTAGTGCGATTACATCTCACTGCAACCTCCACCTCCCAGATTCAAGCAATTTTCCTGCCTCAGCCTCCGGAGTAGCTGGGATTACAGGCGTGCACCACCATGCTGGTTAATTTTTATAGTTTTAATAGAGATGGGGTTTCACCATGTTGGCCAGGCTGGTTTCAAACTCCTGACCTCAGGTAATCTACGCACTTCAGCTGCCCAAACCGCTGGGATTACAGTCATGAGCCACCATGTCCGGCCTTTCCCCAACTTTCTTTTTTTTTTTTTTTGAGATGGAGTCTCATTCTGTTGCTAGGCTGAAGTGTGGCTGCACAATCTTGGCTCACTGCAACCTCTGCCTCCCGGGTTTAAGCAATTCTCCTGCCTCAGCCTCCAGAGAAGCTGGGACTATAGGCGCACGCTACCAACACCTGGCTAATTTTTGTATTAGTACAGATGAGGTTTCATCATTTTGGCCAGGCTTGTCTTGAATTCCTGACCTCAAATGATCCACCTGCCTCAGTGTCCCAAAGTGCTGAGATTACAGGCATGAGTCATTGGGCCTGGCTTAACATGTGCTGTCATAGTAAAAAAAATATTTGCGAGCTGTGTGTGGTGGCTCATGCCTGTAATCCCAACACTTTAGGAAGCTGAGGCACAAGGATCACTTGAGGCCAGGAGTTTAAGACTAGTCTGGGCAACAAA